GTGAGGAACAGAAGTATTTGAACACCCTGCTATTTTGCAAGTTCTCCCACTTAGAAATCATGGAGGGGTCTGAAATTCACATTATATGTGCATTCCCACTCTGAGAGCCAGAATTAAAAAAAAAAAAAAAAAAACAAAACAAAAAAAAAAAAAAACCACAATTCAGGAAATCACATTGTATGATTTTTAAAGAATTTTATTTGTCTTGCACTGCTGAACATAAGTATTTGAACACCTGAGAAAATCAGTGTTAATATTTGACACGGAAGCCTTTGTTTGCAATTGCAGAGGTCAAACGGTTCCTGTAGTTCTTGACCAGGTTTACACACACTGCAACAGGGATTTTGGCCCACTCCTCCACACAGATCTGTCAGGTTTCGGGGCTGTCGCTAATCAACACAGAGTTTCAGCTCCCTCCAAATATATTCTATTGGATTTAGGTCTGGAGACTGGCTAGGCCACTCCAGAACCTTAATATGCTTCTTACAGGGCCACTACTTGGTTATCCTGGCTGTGTGCTTCGGGTCGTTGTCATGTTGGAAGACCCAGCCACGACCCATCTTTCAATGCTCTGACTGAGGGAAGGAGGTTGTTGCTCAAAATCTCACAATAAATGGCCCCATTCATCCTCCCCTTAATACAGTGCAGTCGTCCAGTCCCCTTTGCAGAAAAGCCCCCCCAAAGCATGATGTTACCACCCCCATGCTTCACAGTAGGGATGGTGTTCTTGGGATGCAACTCATCCTTCTTTTTCCTCCAAACACGACGAGTGAAGGTTAGACCAAAAAGTTCTACTTTGGTCTCATCTGACCACATGACTTTCTCCCATGCCTCCTCTGGATCATCCAGATGGTCATTGGCAAACTTCAGACGGGCCTGGACATGTGATGACTTGAGCAGGGGAACCTTCCGTGCAATGCATGATTTGAAACCATGACGGCGTAATGTTCTACCGACAGTGACCTTTGAAACTGTGGTCCCAGCTCTCTTCATGTCATTGACCAGCTCCTCCCTTGTAGTTCTGGGCTGATTCCTCACCTTTCTTATCAGTGATACCCCACGAGGTGAGATCTTGCATGGAGCCCCAGTCCGAGGGAGACTGACAGTCGTCTTTTAGCCTCTTCCATTTTCTAACAATTGCTCCAACAGTTGATCTATTTTCACCAAGCTGCTTGGCAATTGCCCCGTAGCACTTTCCAGCCTTGTGGAGGTCCACAATTTTGTCTCTGGTGTCTTTTCACAGCTTTTTGGTCTTGCCCATGGTAGTAGTTGGCGTCTGACTGACTGTGGGGTGGACAGGTGTCTTTAAAGAGCTCAGACAGGTGCTACTAAGTTAGATTAATCAGTGGAGCAGAGGTGGACTTTTTAAAGGCACAGTAACAGGTGTTTGAGAGCCAGAATTCTTTCTGTTTCTTAGGTGTTCAAATACTTCTGTTCAGCAGTGCAAGACAAATTCTTTAAAAATCATACAATGTGATTTCCTGATTTTTTTTTTTTTTTTTCTGTCTCTCAGAGATGGAGTGCACCTACAATGTGAATTTCACACCCTCCATGATTTCTAAGTGGAGAACTTGCAAAATCATAGGGTGTTCAAATACTTCTGTTCCTCACTGTATATAAATATACAGAGTACAACAGCACAGCAAAGAGAACAGGAGTTTCGAGGGTTAAAGTACTTGCCAATCAGCCTTGGTTTAAGCAGTTTCAAGTCTTATGAGCTCAAAAAGGATTTCTTGTCTCACACTGTCAGTTTCGATGTTACACAGGAGACTCTTCTTTCTTTCTCTCACCCACCCCACTCCAAGCATAACAGCCTTTTTGTAGGATTTCCGCAGGGTGTCTCCTTGCAACAGAGAACCAATTGCCTTATTTGGGGAGGGAGGTGTAGGTGGAGACCTAAGTTATAACCGGAAACTACCATAGCTTATATTTTGGCCCATAACTTTTCCTAGGTACATGTAACATTCCACCCACAGGGAGATTAATATGCAGAATCATCTGCTGAAGTTCTACATATGAAATATAACATACCTGCTAGGATGATTAAGGAGATTTTATTTTCTGCTCTCAGCTAGGGAAGGTAATATACCAAACTATTTGTCTCAACGTGACCAATCTGAAGATATGCCTGTTTTTTGTGTAAGTCACTCATATTCCAAGATATGAAATCATAGGGGGAAATTGGATTTTGAATATGGTGTCTAGTTTATTACTTATCTGGAATGTCTTTGAACTCAGTGAAGGACTTGGTTTACGCTTTTCCGATATCCCAGATTGCACATTTAGCAGACAGCTAGACCCCAGCTCCATTGGGGGTTTTAAAGCTCTGAGCTCCCTGCTGTGCTTTGGCTGCCTGTGACCTCTGCCATCACTCAGGCCACATGTCACCCCACAGCGAGGGAGGGGGATGAGCAAAGAGGGGGAGAGAGATCTACAAGATGGAGGGTTGGAGCAAAATGGTTGAACCGCATCCATCTCTGTGGGTACGACTGCTACACCAACAACTTGATCCAATGTGGATATAAATGTTTGAGTATTTTTCTAAACTCTCATTGAAGACGTGGATTTGATAAGTTATTCTACTCTTCTTTACCCTTAATGCCTTACTCCACCCCCCCCCCCCCCACTGCCTCCACCCACCAACTTACTTACTGCACAGGAGATTGCCAGTCACTTCAAGATTGACACAATTCGTGATGAGATCTCTAGTGTCAAGCTTCCTCCTCTAACCAACATACTAGGCCCTACACCAAACTACGCTCTCTCCTCCTTCGACCCTGTTACCACCAAGGAAGTTACCAAACTCCTTTCCAAGGCCCACTTCACCACCTGTCCCCTGGATCCTGTCCCTTCATGACTGTTGCAGCCTCCTTCCTGCTCTATCCTAAACTCTCTGACCCACATCTTCAACCTCTCACTCTCCATGGGCACCTTTCCCTCCCCACTCAAACATGCACTAGTTACCCCCATCCTCAAAAAGTCCTCGCTGGACCCCACCTGTTTGAATAACTTAAGACCCATCTCCCTGCTCCCGTTTGCCTCCAAGCTTCTCGAGCGCCTTGTTTCACAACCGTATGAACTGCTACCTCACCGACAACAACATTCTTGATCCCGACAGTCTGGCTTCTGCCCACAACATTCCACAGAAACTGCCCTACTAAAACTCACTAATGACCTACTAACTGCTAAAACCAACGGCCATTACTCCATACCCCTTGACCTTTCCGCTGCCTTTGACACAGTCGACCACCCACTCCTCCTTAGTAAACTCCACTCCATCGGCCTCCGTGACTCTGCTCTCTACTGGTTCTCCTCTTACCTTTTCTCAGCACACTTTCAGTGTCACAACTCCTGCTCCTCTACTCCGCTTCCTCTTTCTGTTGGGGTACCCCAAGGTTATGTTCTTGGGCCCCTCCTTTTCTCTCTACCCCTCCTCCCTGGGCCAGCTGATAACCTCCCATGGCTTCCAATACCACCTCTATGCTGATGACACCCAGATCTATCTCTCCACTCCCCAGCTCACCCCCTCAATCTCCTCACGTATCACAAATCTACTAAGCAACCTATCAGCATGGATGTCACATCACTACCTTAAACTGAATCTTTCAAAAACTGAGCTTGTAATATTTCCTTCTCCCCGATCCCCTACTCACGACCTTACCATTAAGATCAACAGCACAACCATTGGTCCTTCCCCTCATGCCAAGGTGCTAGACGTAATCCTAGACTCTGACCTCTCCTTTTTGGGCCCCACATCCACTCACTGGCCAAATCCTGCTGCCTCAACCTCCGGAACATTTCCAAAATCCGCCCCTTCCTGACCAATCACACCACAAAACAACTTATCCACACCTTGGTTATATCACACCTCGATTACTGCAACTCCCTCCTCACTGGTCTGGTCTACCGTTACACAGGCTATTCCCCATTCAGTCTATTATGAATGCTGCTGCTAGACTCATACACCTTACCAACCGATTTTTTTTTTTTTTTTTTTTTTTTTTTTTTTAAATAAGCATCATACTTGCCATCTTTCAGTGCAATGGTTTTTCACAGAGCATCCCTGATCCTCCTCGTTTTTTTAGGCCCCACTGGCACTTCTGGCGCTTTCCTTTTGCTGATTTGCTCCCAGAACAAACCACTTGCTTTAGGGGCACTCATGCCTACTCGCTCCTGAGCTGGCTCTGTCTCTATGGGACACAGAGAGCTTGGCTCAGTCCTGCCCTTGCCTGCTCCCTCCTCATTGGCTGTGATTAACAGCAGCGGAAGCCAATGGCTCTTGCTGCTGTCTCAGCCAATTAGGAGAGAGAGACACAGGAAAGCTCCTACTCTTGTGCAGCGCTGGATCAAGATTGGGCTCAGATAAGTATAGAAAGCATGAAGGTAAAAAAACCTTCACCCATTACAACCACTTTAACAGACCAAAGGTGGCAAATATGAGGTTAATTTTTGAGATTTACATACACTGATGTACTGGAACTGAGCAGTGTCAGATTTACCCTACTTCAATTGAATTTTAGGCAGAATTTTACCACAGAGTGGCTTCAGAAGATGTGCATTTTTGTGAGTGGTCCAGCCAAAGGCCACCCTTTTGAAAAATAGACTACATACAGAAAAATACATTAAAGTATATACTTGTATTGTAAAGCGTTGAGCAAACTGTTGGCGCTATATAAATCCTGTATAATAATACATGTATAAAACCTGTATAGGTGGGTTATTTAAAAAATAAATTCCTAGAAATGTACCAATTTTAGTAAAAGTTGCATAACTGATTACAATCTCTAGTAGAAATATATTGCAAAAGTAGTTTATTAAGCTGGAAATGCATTTGTTTTACCCTATATATTTTGAAATTGATAGATATCTACTTTATTGCAGTACGCAGTTCTGCAATTACCTGTTTTTAAGTAATTGTGTACTACTACATGGTCATATAGGGAAAAAAAATGGTTAAAGCTTGTTTTATGATCCTAAAACTTGTTTCCTATGTCTGGTTTAGATGGAAACTATGGATATGATGGAAATTCAGGACACAACTATCAGGCTGGAATGGGCCCGGCTGCAGGATATCCCAATGCTCCCAGGGATATTACCCTCCTCCAAATGCAGGACCAGGCATGCCCTCTCCATATGGATATCAACAGCCTCCCCCAGGTGGATACCAAGGTGGGTGTTGCTATGTAACTTTTATTTGGGATAAAAGAAAAATTCAAAGGCTTAGTAACCTATGAAGGACATATGCCAAGAATATATAGTTGGCCTGGATGTTGTGACTGCTTCATAATGCAAAGAAGCATGCCCAGGAAAACCCTGCAAGTATATTGATGAGAGGAAATCGTGTGTTTTCATACATTAATCCTAATTAAAAGGTATGCGCTAATAACAAACTTATACAAAGGTGTATATCATCATCCAAAAAAAAAAACAATTTAGTGTTTTAAATAAATAATTATAGTGTCCAAAGATAAATTAGTGTCCAAAAAATATATATATATTGGTGTCCAAAAAAAATTTGCATATATATATAATATATATATATCTCTCTTCTGAAACCCAATTGTGAAAAAAAAAACCACCAAAGGAGATTAAATGAACTCACCAGAGCTAATGGCTGGTCAGATTATAAACCAGCAACAGCGCTTGTGCTCTGGGAGCAATGAACCCGATGTCCAAATAGATATGGTGAAGTTTCAAATACTTCCAGATAATAATAATCACAGACAAACAACTTTGCAGCCCAAGCTCTTATGATGAACTTCTCCACTCTTTCTCATTCTCCATGCATGCACATGCAGTACACTCAGGGACAAAAAAGAGAATATAATGGTGCAATATTTTTTTTCATTTATCTCTTTATTAAAAAAGGAAACTCACAAAACCAGGTGTCCAACAGACACCAGCTTCAATCGCAAAAAAAGGTGAGATACAATTACCGCTCACCGCGGATCTCTCACATACAGCACAAAACAGCAAGGCTCTCTAACGTCCACATCAAGTAGGCCACGCCCAACCGGTTTCGTCACACTGAGGTCATCAAGGGGCGGTACAAATGGGAACATCAGACAGCTCTCATAACTACAAAAACCTACCACCCTTCATCTACATAATTTTAACACCCAGCCAATCACTGCGTTCCTAGTTTCCTTAATCACGCCGGCTTGAACAGGTGTTTCCCAATTTAATTATACATATACACTCTACTACATAAAAAAAGCTAAATATATATACCCTGCAGGTTTGAATCAGTACAATACCACTCTCCTTCAAAAATACCCACAAAAAAATATATAAAATTATAGAAACATAAATATATGCAGAAAAGCATTATATACTCCATCTTGTGCATGGCTCTTCAAACAACAAAAAAACCCTTAAAGGGCCATGCACAGAACTTAAAGCACAACTCTTCTCAAAATCAAATCAAATTACAAACATTTATAAAAAATATAAACCAAATTAAAATACATTATATATAACAAACAATATATGTATATCAATATTTAAAGCAGATAATAAATATCTGTTTAAACCTCTTGATACTAAAGACTCAAAGAAATATCAAAAAAGGAGACTTTTTGGATATATTAATTGAATCAGATCTAAACAACTCCAATGACTTTTTACTCAATTCCATAAAAAAAAATTTTTTTAAGATTCAGATTTTTTAATTTCAGTCTCAACCATTTTTTTTAAAAAAAACATCTAGATATACATTCCCTATATTTTTAGGATTAAACGTAGAAGAGTTCTTCAAATTACTATGCATGTAGACCTTGTATATAATTTTTTTTTTTTTTGGACACTAATTTATGTTTGGACACTATAATTTATTTAAAACACTAAATGTTTTTTTTTTTGGATGATGATATACACCTTTGTATAAGTTTGTTATTAGCGCATACCTTTTTAATTAGGATTATTGTTGCCAAAATTTATTTTGGGTGGTATATGCTGCTGACACTTTGGTGTTTTTTGTAATATGGCACTTTTTTTTTCTTTTTTAATTTGGTGTTTTCATACATTGATTGGGGATAAAAACTTTCTATTGCACTATAATTTAATAGGTTTGGGCATCGCAAGCATGTATAAAAATGCTTTTCATATTAATTTTTATTTGGGGAATGCAGTTTGATGGTGGGAAAAAATATAGGACCAGTTTTTGGCTTTCAGATGATCACCTGTGTTTCCAGTAAGAAGTCTTGCATCCTGTAAACATTTTGTACAGGTTTAATAGGCTGGTGAACAAGCTACCCCTGTGTGTCAGCAGAGGGAACTCCTTCTTATGGAATTTTTGTAATAATATGAAAAACTAATAAATATTTAAATTAAAAAAAAAAAAAAAAGACAGTACATATAAATAATCAATACATTTCTACTTTGCCCCTTCTAATTTCCTCTTTTCTTTCCCTCCCCTCTGCAAGATGGGAACTCTTAAGCTGGGCATATAGAGAACAAACTTTCTCCAGTTCAGCAGGACCAGTTCAGCAAATAACTCAGCGGCTAGGTTTCCATATCAAGTGTGTGGATAGGGAAATCGGGTTGTGTGTGTGTGTGTGTGTGTGTGTGTGTGTGTGTTCAACCCGTTTTTGGGTTTTTGTTTTTTTTTTGCTTAACCTTAAGTCATGTCAATCCTATAAACCTTTTTTTGCTTGAGTGAACCTGTGTTGATGGGCCTGGCAGATGAAAATACCAGTCTTGCAGTCAGATGTGCAAGGACTTTCCTGCAGCATTCGTCTTAATATCCATGTTGGTTTCAGGTAGTTGTTCTCATCTAAAATAAGCGGGAAAGGTACTGACCGCCTTCTTTCATCTAAACGTGATCAACATAATGTAGGGTATGCTAGTAGGATAGTGGAGCCAGAAACTAAAATGGTATAAGCAGCTGGTGGGTACATAACTTTTAGTTTCCGACTCATTTTTTACCTTAAATATTTAGGTGAACTTTTTGGGAATTTTAAACGAAACCTGTAAAAAAGAATCAAAATTCATAGAAAATTCTATTGCTAACCTATCCTGAAAACACTAGTTGGATGGCTGCCCATAGTGCTCTCAGTCTTCAGAGCTACAGTCACGACATTTGCGGCCCGGGGGTCGGTTTAATATACAGCCCTCCAACAGCCCTCCCTGCTCTGTGTAATGTGGCCCTCCCTTCTATGGCAGACAGTCTTCTGCTTGAGAGCAGAGGGTAGTGTGCATGCCTGACTGCGGCTCGTTCTCCCTGGTCTGTGTAAATGCGGCTGTCGCACGGCCCTCCCTTCTGTGGCAGACAGTCTTCTGCTTGAGAGCAGTGCGCATGCGTGACTGCGCCGCGCTGGGAGCGACAGAGGGCGGTGACGTCAGGGCTGGGCTTCCAGCGTGAAGTGTGTTTCTCTTCCCCTCCCGGCTGCCGAGCAGAGACTTCAGCTCCAGCTACCTTTTTTCACCCTTCACATTAGTGCAGGAAAGTTTTTTTTTTTTTTTTTTTTTTTTTTTAATTTATTTTCAATACATTGTGAAAACTCAGCTGTCAGTTGATCTTAATGTTATGAAATGAAAAGTATGTCGTTTGCAATTAACTTGGCATAAAATAATTTATTTGCATTTAATTGTAATGGTTCAAAGAATGTTTCGGAAAAATGTTCGGCCCTCCACCATGTTCACTTCATCCAATCTGGCCCTCTTTGAAAAAAGTTTGGACACCCCTGGCCTAAAGTGTATTCTCCTGTTTCTTTTCCCAAACTGAAGTAATTTCCTGCTTACTTTGTTCAGAGCTAGCGTGCTTTTAAAATACTTTCTGGTGGTCATTATTGGCATAACAAATCCTGCAACACTTTCATAGTTCGGCATATTGCAAAATGTAAGTTTGCTTCAGGCCGAAATAGTAAGTACATGTTTACAACAAGTTTTTGTTTTTTTTTTTTTTTTTCATCTCAATACAATTGTAAATGTAGGGCACATTCCAGGACCAAATTTGTGGTTGTAAAACCGTAATCTTATCTATTTGGACTGTGATAGTGCTGTGCTTTTACAAGCTAATGACTTTAATGGACAAAGAAAAGCACCATAATTAGTAGCTAACCTTTTCCCTGAGAGGAGGTCTTGTAATGGATACATGCAGCAATGCATTAGGTTATGCTTTCTTGGGAAGATTTCCTGACCCTCCTAATCAAGAGTGAAGAAAAAAATGTTTCAAAATGGGAAATGGAGACTCATGAAATGGATTACTTCTGTATAATATTGACATGTGAGAATGTTGCTGCTAGAGGACCTGCTGTCTATATTGAGTAGAATAACCCCCGATTTTGAATAAAATTAAAAATGGGATTAATTTTCTGTTAGTCATTAGTTGTCAAGTGTAACCCTTGACAGTTTTGTATTAACAGTTCCTGTTTTGTCAATGCCTCACTGCTAAGCTTTTGTTTATCAGTCAGTAGTTTCATAGTTTGACAGTTCATGCTTGGTACACATAAGCACTGGAAAAAAAAATTAAAATGCTATGAAGTAAATTTAGAATTCATGCACTAATAAATTTGTGAGAATATAACATAATAGGACATTTCCCACATTAGACTACTTTCACAGTATACTGTGCTTGTATAACTGCCACTCTGTAGATAAACTGACTGTATTTTACTGTCCCACTAGCTAATCTCTTCTGCAGTTGTAAGACAGACTTTTGTGGGGTTTTTTTTTTTTTTTTTTTTTTTTTTTTATCAAGCTTTAAAAAAAAAAAAAAAAAAAAAGAAATTAAATGTTTTATACTTGGTACTAAACTCCTATTGAACTCATGGCTAAAATTAAAACATGATTACAATAAAAAATTTTTGTTATTGGATAAAAAAAATATATAATATTATATTATTATACAGTATTTATAAAGCGCCAATAGTTCGCTCAGCGCTGTACATTACAAAGGGAGACAGAACATGTGACATAATACAATGCAAAGCATGAGGGGATCGAGGGCCCTGCTCTTTTGAGCTTACAATCTACGAGGGAGGGGATGGTGGCACAGGAGGAGAAAGCTGTGGGGGATGGAGTGGTAGGAAGAGTGGAGGAGGTCGGCAAGTTATCAGGGGGTGGGGTAGGCTTCCCTGAAGAGGTGGGTTTTCAGGGTGCGCCTAAAGGAGAGAGAGTAGGTGATAATCTGATGGGTTGGGGCAGGGAGTTCCAGAGGATGGGTGACACCCTGGAGAAGTCCTGGAGGTGGGCATGGGAGGAGGAGACCAGGGAACTAGAGAGAAGGAGGTCTTGTGAGGAGCGGAGTGTGCGTGCTGGGTGGTACTTGGATATTAGGTTGGTGATGTAGTTTGGGGCAGTATGGTGGACGGCTTTGTACGTCAGTGTTAGGATTTTGAATTTGATCCGTTGCGCAATCGGAAGCCAGTGGAGGGATTGGCAGAGGGGGGTGGCGTAAACAGAGCTGTTGGAAAGGTGAATGAGTCTGGCAGCCGTATTCAGGATCGACTGAAGCGGGGATAGCCAGCGGCGAGGCAGGCCAGTGAGGAGGGAGTTGCAGTAGTCGAGTCGTGATATGATGAGGGAGTGGATGAGCTGTTTAGTGGTTTCTGCGGGTAGAAACGTGCGTATTTTGGCGATGTTGCGGAGGTGGAGTCTGCATGAGTTTGTTAAAGATTGGACTTGGGGCTGGAAGGATAGGTTGGAGTCCAGAATGACACCAAGTACTCTGGCCTGCGGGGCGGGTTTGATGGTGGCGTTGTTGGACATGATGGAGAAGTCAATGGGGGGTGGGGTCCGGGCTGGGGGGAAGACAAAAACTCGGTTTTGGAGAGGTTCAGTTTAAGGAAGTGGAGCGACATCCAGTCTGATATGTCGCTCAGTAGGTGTGTGATTCGGGCGGAGACTGAGGGGGTGAGGTGGGGGGTTGAGAGAGAGATTTGTGTGTCGTCGGCATATAGGTGGTAGTTGAAGCCATGAGAGTGTATGAGTTGGCCAAGGGAGGAGGTGTAGATAGAGAGAAGGGGTCCGAGGATGGAGCCTTGAGGGACCCCAACAGAGAGGGGGAGTGAGGGGGTGGTAGCATTATAGGTAACGCTGAAAGAGCATTGACAGGTAGGATGAGAGCCAGGAGAGAGCAGAATCTCTGAGGCCGAGGGAGTGTAGTTTTTTGAGGAGGAGGGGGGTGGTCGACTGTGTCGAAGGCCGCGGAGAGGTCAAGGAGTAGGAGCACTGAATAGTGGCCATTAGCTTTAGCGGTTAGCAGGTCGTTGATGATATATGATTAACAATCTTATTTTGGTGGATATTGAATTGTCTGTAATTGTACACTTTAATTTCAACAGGCTTTGCAGGTCAACCTAACTATGGCCCTCCTGTGCAAAATCAACCAATGGGGCCAGGTGGCCCATCTGCTTGGATGCCGGCACCTCCAGCTAACCCAAACTGCCCACCAGGTTTAGAATATTTTAGTATGGTAAGTGGTTCTATTTCCACATGTACTTCTAGTTTCAAATGCCTGTTTTAAGGAATAGTTTGTTTTTTTCTATGTACCCATGATTTCCATTTATTCCATATAAATATTATAGTCACTTGAATGGGGAAAGCAGAAGGAATGGGATAATTCACTTTTAGAACATTCCTTACATAGAGTTGTCAGGATTAGCTGTGCTTCAGCCTGCTGTATACTGAAAATCAAGCTCTATCAAGAATACTGCCACATACTATGGCCAATGCTGCACTGCACTAAGAATATACAGATGTTTAAAATCCTTTCCACTTGACAAAGAATATGGTCTCCTTTCTTGAAGAATTTCCTTTATGAGCACCTGTTGGTTCAGTCAGTGATATTGTCATCCATTTCCATAAAATGCTAAACCTGCTGTATAACATTTTATTTATCCTTTAGTGTTGCTATGCTTGGCATTTGGATCACAAAAGTGTTTCAGACAGGAGTGAAGGAAACAAAGGTGCAAAAATCCCCTTTTAGGGGAACTAAGCTAGGCACCACATAATGTCATCTAAAAATAATTTACTATCTGTTAAGTCTAGTCTGTTTTTGATTTGTTAAAGGGGAAACTTTTGTTTTCACAAATTTCTTATACCAGACCAACAAAAAAAACCCTCTGATATTGTAGTGCAATAAGGGTCCATTCACATCACAACACAGTGCACATGTGTTTGTACATAGGTTGACGTACATTGTGTTGGGCAGCAGCTCTAACACAGTAAGAACATGCCCTGCTCTAATTTTCAAAAGGCAGCATACCAAAATGTGCAGAGCATTTGCAACTGTGCATTATGGTGCACAGCAGTACGCTGTATATGTGCAATGGGGTGCAGTTGGCAAGCCACCGAACACACACAGGGGCTTACTAAAACCAGAAAGTGCAAAATCCGGTGCAACTCTTCATAGAAACCAATTGGCTTCCAGGTTTTTTTTTTTTTTTTTTTGTTTGTTTTTGTCAAAGTTTACATGAAGAAGCTGAAGTTAGAAGCTAATTGGCTACTATGTACAGCTGCACCAGATTTTAGTAAATCAACCCCATAGTGTGTTGTGATGTATTATTGTAACAAGTGTTGTGATTGAGCTCTAATAAAGTAAGTATTTCCTATCTTTTGGGTAGACTTCCAGTCATGTTGTCTCCAGGACTGGAAGTTGGAAGTATTTTCCTATAGAGACAGCAACAAAAACCTGACAGATGTCCTAACCTTTTTTCCAGTATACACAAAAATAAAAAGGTTTTTACTGTAGTTCCACTTAACCAAATGCATCTCTTTACAGATGAAACATGTTTGCTAAGAGATCTTGGGATTTAGTAAGGGCTCGGTCATTACAATCGTGCTCACAATCGGAGCCTTCAAATTAAGTTTTTAGTAATCCATTTTCGCTTGCGTCGTAATAATATTCTGTGATTCGCTAATGAAAACATTCCTTTATTTTTTTTGCAGATAGATCAACTACTTGTCCATCAGCAAGTAGAGCTACTGGAAGGTATACTACATTAATTTTATGGGGTTAATACTAGTTTGAGTGAACTGTTAAACCCTGAGAGTTTTAATCTGTACCACTCCATCTCAAACATTTTTAGTGTTAGGAGCTTAGCAGTGTTTGACCATCAAGTAAAGTGAAAAAGATGAATTTTTATATTCCACCTGGTTATCAGGACTGTTTCATAAAAATAACTACAGTATAGACAGATGAGAGGCCTGATAACTGGTTTGCTTTGGACTGCAGGAATAAGTAATAAGCTATGGGGAAACCTACATGCCTCATCTTTTGTATGGCTATGGCTTACCTGTCAATTCATACAAGTGACCTACTGTATATAACCAGAACATGTGTCAGAACAAGGGCCAATACTATTTTTTTAAATAAAATGGTAAGGATAAAGGTCATCAGGATATCTAACAATTTTTCTAATGTTCACGAGAATATGGAATTATATTATTTTCTTGATAAATATGACCATGGGTTATATGTGCTTTTAAAATGGTGTAGAATTTATTACAAAAAAGCTTTTGTTTTTTTCAGCTAAACCTTTGTTTTTACAAAAATCTATTTTTGTTTTCTTTTATGTATGGTTATAAGTTGGCAGCCTGGTATTAAGGTCATTAAAACCTTGATGTCTAGACCAGATTTGGCTGTCTCTTTATCAGTCATTTTACCCAATATTATATATATATTTCCAATTTTTAAAAAACTATTTTTTTTTAATGCCATGCTCATGTTTATTATGCTGATATTCTAACAGAGTAAGTAAAATTTTTGGTTCTGTATTTAACCATGTGATCATTATTTTCTGTATTGGTGATCACATGATCTGGAGCTATGCAAATAAATACGAAGTATACACAAGCAGCTCTTAGTGACAGCACAGTCTTAGGAGCACATATAGCCTCAGTTTCTAGTTCAAAAAAGGTTACGTAGACTAAGACACTCTCTGTGGAAACTGAAAGTAATTCTACATAATGCAAGTGTTTGTATGCATGCACGTATATTACACACTATGTCCCTCTTGGCAAAATTCACCCTTGTATTTCTACTGGTGACCATTGTCCTAGCAAAGGAAAGTATGAGCAAATCCAAAATTTTACAGTTGTCACCAGAAAAGGGTAAGAGGAAATTAATTTAATATCAACACCTGTTTTAGGAACAGCTGTCAAGAAGGAAGTCCCCTTACTTTGGGAGACTCCCTCTAACATTCTGATGCATCTCTGGTACAGAAAGAGCAGTGATAGTTTGCACAAAATAAAAGTTTTGGCTATACATAACCCATATACAGAAATTAATCTATCTAAAATATAAACTTTGTAGATTTACTAAATCTGATGCACTCAGAATCTGGTGCAGCTGTGCATGATAGCCAATCGGCTTCTAACTTCAACCTGGTCAATTAAGCTTTGGCAATAAAACCTGGAAGCTGATTGGTTTCTGTGCAGAGTTGCACCAGAATTTGTGCTCATTGGTTTCAGTAAATAACACTCTGATTTTGCAACAGGAAGTTTGCAAAAGCTTCTCAATATAAAAAACACAAAGTAGAAAGTGAGGTGAAATTATTCTTCTTCTTCCTCTTCCTCTTCCTCCCAGAACACATGTTCTGGTGACCAATGTCACTTGGATAGAGAGAACATGACTCTGTTCAGCCCAGGATATAGCACTGCAAAAACTGCACAAACATTTGAACCTTTCCCATTTTAAGTTTTGACCCGAAGTACACTTTTAAATGTAGCATCTCCTTTGAGTGGATGAGGGCAGGCTGTTATGTAATGGGGCACTACCTTTGCCCTCTGTCCAAGCCTTTGCAATGCAGAGTAAGACATTCCAATGCATGCTACAATCCTTGAAATGCAAGGGCTCATTCGCACCAGCCTGTGTGCTGGTGTCTGTATCTCCCCATCCCTCACTGCCCATGCACTACAACACTGTAATGCATCGTACTGTGTGGGGTTTTTTTTCCCCCTTCGTCTTTCAGGACAGCACCTTGAGACCTCGGCTCCTCCCCACTTGAGGAAACACCTCCACACTAAACAAAAAGCCTATCACTCCCCTCCGACCTCAGTTCTGGTGTTTTCTCCGGTGGGGAGACATCTCTAGGAAGCCTCTCAGGTGCTGTCAGGGGACAGCAGGACCTGAGTTTTGGAGTGGGTCCTGGAGTACTCAGTGCAGCGGGGAGTGAAGGCCGGAGAGCCAGCTGTGATCCTCCCCTGGAGTGCTGCAGAGGCAGAAGGAGTGAACCCTGGGTGACGGGGTAGAACACTGACCTGCCGGCCGCCCCCTCCGGTGAGTTGCGGGTGTCGGGGCGGCCTCGGTGGGATCCGGAGAGGATCGGGGAGGAGTCTCGCTCCTTCCCATGCAGGCTGTCAGAGGAGCACGCTGGGCCGGATGTCGGGGGACAGCAATTCTGGTGGAAGGGGCGGGGCTTCTTCCGGGGTCGCGGCTTCCGACCACGGCTCTATACACCGGGGCCGGCGGAAATGGAGGTGCGGTGCGTCGCGGGATAGAGCCTGGGGGACAGGCTACCGCGAGGACTGGCAACCACCCTCCTGTCCATGTCGGGCGCAGAGGCACCGGGACCAGGCGAGGCCTGCACCAGCCAAACCCAGGTAAGGTGACTCGGTGGAGCCCTCCCCTACCTGTAGTCCCCTAGCTCCTTGGGTGTTCCCAGGCCACCTTGTGGTCAGAGGGTCTAGGGTGGGCGGAGGGGCCTGTCCGGGGAGAGTTAGGCCCTGCCAGGGAATGGGGGGGGGGGTAGAAACAGGTGGCCAGTGGGTAATAGGCTCTCATTCTGCCTCCTGGTTGTCTTTTCAGGGTAAAGCCCGGAAAAAACTTAAACCTCAGGAACCTAGACGAAAATGTCCGTCTTGCAGAACAATTCTCAAGGAGGCATGGAAGAAGGTTCTTTGTGGGCCCTGTTTTGAGGGGTTAATGAAGGAAGAGAGTCCTGGTCAGGTCGGTGAGGAAGCTGACCAGTACCTTTTTTGACTCTCTTAAAAATTTAATGGAGAGTTTAGCCATTCCCCAGGCGGCACCCCCCCCCCCCCAACCAGTAGCCCCGTCAACTAGTCGGAGCAGAAAACTCCCTGAGGCAGGGGAAGAAGAACCCTCCCTGGATTCCCAGTCCGAGGAGGACTCAGCAGGGGAGGGCCCCTCGGAAGATCCCAGAGGTCCCTCCCAGGTACATATTATCCCTGGAGGAAGTTGACGACTTATTAGGGGCAATCTATGATACACTGGACATTAAGGAAGAGGTTAAACCTCTATCCTTGCACGATCAAATGTACCAGGGTATGGAGGAGCAGAAGCGTAGGGTATTCCCCGTGCACAAGGTTTTGGTTGACATCATAAGGAAGGAATGGCAGGATCCAGAGAGGAAGCCCTTCTTTTCCAAATTGCTTAAACTGAGATTTCCGTTTAATGAGGACATTTTAGCCTTATGGAACAAGAATCCTAAATTGGACGCAGCCTTTTCCCAGACGGCCAGGAAAATGGATCTGGCCCTTGAGGATATGGGGGTTTTGCCAGACCTATTGGACAGGAGAGCTGAATCCCTCCTTTAAAAAGGCATAGGATTCAACCCTGTCGAATTTTAAAACCAGCCATGGCCACGACTGTAGTAGCCAGAAACATGGAGTACTGGCTGACAGTTACAAGCTCACATTGTGGCCGATTCCCCTAAAGACAAAATCCTTGCATCATTTGAGACATTGCTGCAGGGAGTGGGGTACATCGCGGATGCATCCCAGAGTTGGTGAGATTGGGGGCTAGGTCAGCGGCTCTAACCAACTCGGCCCGTAGGGCCCTTTGGCTTAAGACGTAGCAGGGGGACATCACATCTAAAATAAAGTGGCATCCCCTTTTCAGGAGATCTCCTGTTCGGGCCGGGATTAGAGTCGGTGTTGGACCGTACGGCAGAAAGAAAAAAGTCCTTCCCCCCCCCCCCTGAAGCGAAAGTTACAGGATCTAGGGGCTAGGAGATTTTGTCCCCCAAAGAGACGGAGCCCTAGGGTGGAAGGACAGAGGAGGACTTGAGGGCAGAGAGGGAGGGGCAAGGGAGGGACGATCTTTCGTCCTCCTGAACAGCCCCAGAAGCCACGGTGACTCTGTTCCCCCGGTGGGAGGAAGATTGGCAGCCTTCCTCCCACAGTGGGAAGCGGAAGTCTCCAGCCCTTTTTATTTTGGACATCATAAGAAGGGGTTACCAACTGGAATTCTCGAGACCACCGCTGAAAAGATTGTTAATAACGAGTCTGCCCAGGTGTCTCAGAGGGCCTCAGCCTTGCTAGCCTCACATCGGGATTTGGAGGCACAGAAAGTGGTGGTACGAGTTCCCGAAGCAGAAGTGGGGAAGGGGTTCTATTTCCACGTGTTTGTGGTTCAGAAACCATTAGGGGCCTACAGATTCATTTTGAATCTGAGACCCCTAAATGAGTCCATACGTTACAAACGATTCCGGATGGCCTCGATCTTTACGATCAGAGCCCTCCTTCCACCAGGGGCATTCCTGGCCTCCATCGACTTAAAGGATGCATATCTGCACGTGCCTATCGCAGAGGCATTCCAGCATTTCCTCAGGTTGGCAGTTCAGAGCACAGCAGGGACACACCATCTAGAGTTCCGGGCCTTGCCGTTTGGACTCTCCTCCTCACCAAGAATTTTCACAAAGCCCCTGTCGGAAGCGTTAATTCCTATTCGGCTGAAGGGAATTGCAGTAGTGGCCTATCTGGACGACCTGCTTCTGTTTGCGGGCTCGGAAGTCCAACTTGCGCTGGACGTGGCAGTGGTGAGGAGACACTTGGAGAGACTGAGTTGGCTGCTGAACTTGGACAAATCCTGCCTAGTTCCTTCCCAAAGAATGACCTATTTAGGGTACATTCTGGATTCCACGGGGCAGAAGACCATGCTAACCTCAGAAAAGCTTGCCAAGCTAGATGGGGGGGATCGGGCTGTTTTTTGGGAAGCCACGGCATAACCGTGAGGCAGGCTGTGTCGGTGTTGGGACTGTTAACTTCATCCATCCCGGCAGTTCAGTGGGCAGGTCTGCATCTTTGTCCCCTTCAACTTTTCATTCTGAGAGTCTGGGGCAGGCAGGTACGGTCCTTAGATACCCGAATTCTTATTCCCTCCAGAGTAAAGAGATCCCTGTGGGGGTGGAGAAAGACAGCCAATGTGACTCAGGGGCTGTTATGGAGTTTCCCGGTGGTCAAGGAGATCACGACGGATGCCAGCGCCCAAGGTTGGGGTGCCCACCTTAAGGACTCGGTGGTTCAAAGAGTGGTCTCCAGTAGAAAAGGGGGAATCCTCAAACTGGAGGGAGTTAAGAGCGATATTGGAAGCACTCCGCTCCTTCCAGAGCATGATCAGGGGCCAGCATGTCCGCATCCTGTCGGACAATGCAACACCAGTAGCCTACATAAACAGACAAGGAGTAACAAGGAGCAGGTCTCTCTGGACCCTGGCGCCAGTGGTTCTGTCTTGGGCGGAAATAAATCTTGCCTCCTTATCAGCCGTCCACCTTAAAGGGGAATTGAATCGGGTAGCCGACTTTCTGAGCAGAAGACAACTCAGAGTTGGCATGGGTCCTAAATGGAGAGGTGTACCAGGCCATTGCAAAGAAGTGGGGATCCCCAGACATAGACCTCCTTCGCGTCAGGGAGGAACAACAAGGTCCTGAGATTCTTTTCCTTAAACCGGTGGGACGGGGCGTGGGCAGTAGATGCGTTGGGACAGAGGTGGGATTTTCCTCTGTGCTACGCCTTCCCCCCCGGTTGCCTTACTGTCAGTGGTACTGAGGAAGTTCAGGTCGGAGAGAACTTCTCTCATCCTGATTGCTCCATATTGGCCCCGAAGGCGTGGTTCGCAACATTGAGGGCCTTAGCCACGCAGCCGCCCTGGGTATTGCCTCTGCGGAAGGATTTACTGTCGCAGGGCCGGGTCCTATGTGCCAGGTTAGAGAGACTGAAAGTGATGGCTTGGTTTCTGAGCAGCAACTCCTGTTAGCAAAGGGGCTCTCAGCCAGGCTGATGGCTACGCTCCTGGCTAGCATAAAAACAGAAACCCAAGCCATTTACAGGAAGGTTTGGAGTCGCTTTAGAGACTGGTGCTACAGAGCCTCAGTGGATACCCATAGCCTAGTGTCAGTCCTGGAATTCCTGCAGGCGGGGGTCAATAAGGGGCTTGCGATCAGCACACTCGAGAGCTAGATTTCGGCCCTTAGTGTGTTTCTGGAAACCCCTTTAGCTAAGGAGGCGCAGTGCACCGCCCTGTGCAGGAACGCAGGCACTGGGACCTGGCCGACCGCAACGAGCGAGTTCGCATGCGCAGTAGGGACCGCGGGCGCGCGCGTGGCACCAATGACAGCGCAGGGCGGGATATTTAAATGGCCCTGAGCTGTCATTCAGTGCCTTCTGGTCTTCCCTGTATCCTGTATCTGCGAACTTGTGAATTGTAAGTTGCTGACCCGGATTGTGCTCTGACCTTGCTATATTCTCCTGCCCAGACCCTTGCTTTGCCTGACCTCTCTCTTGGATGCCCCCTATTGGATCTGACCTGCTGTTGCTGACCTGGCGTGTGACCCGACTATTCTCTGCCCGCTGCCTTGTACCGTACCGTCCTCTCTGTTACCGACCCGGCCTGTCTGACTTCGCACCTGCTCAACCATCCATCCATCCATCTATCCCTCCCAGTGGGGTCTTCAGGCCTCCTCATATCAGGCTCTCCCCTGTGGGAGCCCTCGGCGTATACCACTACCACTGACGGGTATACCCAGTAGTCACGACCTGGTCTCAGGGTGCTCCAAGTCCATCCCCACCATCAGGGGCCCTGGTGAACAAGCACCTTGGAACTTAGATTCCGTGCTCTGGGGACGCCTATTCAGCGGAGTGCTAGTGGTAACGCCGGGCGGTCCCTTACAGATGGACTGGTAATCACATTCTTTAGAGCTCTGACAAGACAGAGACCTCCTGGGATCTCACACTTAAAACCGTTTTTTTTTGGTGGCGGTCACCACAGCAAGGAGGGTGTGTGAACTGGAAGCACTATCGGTCAGGACACCTTACTTGCAAATTTTTCCGGATAGGGTGGTGTTCAGAACGGACCCATCCTTCGTTCCGAAGGTGGCCCAAAAGTTTCAGAGGGAACAGGATATAGTTTTTGCCCTCATTTTTTCCTAACCCGGTAGGAGAAAGTCAGGAGAAATTTCATTTGTTAGATGTAAGAAGGTGTGTGCTACTTTTACCTAGAGAGGACTAAAGAATTTCGAAACACAGAATCATTTTTTTATTTCCTTTGCGGGGGTGAGAAAAGGGAAAAGAGCCTCCAGGCGAACAGTATCTATTCTAGATGGTTAAAACTAGCAATTGAACAAGCATACCGAGCCCGAAAGTCTAGAGGTCCCAGAGGGAATCAGGGCGCATTCCACACAGGGCCATAGCGACAACTCAGGGTGAACTGGCAGGAGCTTCCCCGGAACAGATTTGTAGGGCAGCAGCCTGGTCCAGTCACGGGACGTTTGTAAAACATTACAGACTTTACCTGGTCTCGGTGCAGGAGCAGGCCTTCGGACGTAAGGTACTGCAACCAGCCCGCCCGAGGGGTAAGTACTCGCTTATCCTCTCAAGGTGCTGTCCTGAAAGACGAAGGGGGAAAATCAAGTTACACTTACGGTAACGCCTTTTCCAGTAGTCTTTCAGGACAGCACCCGTTACCCACCCTTTGTTGCAGAATATTGTATGAGATGTCTTATAGTTGTCTGTTGTCTCATATTATGTCTCCCCAGGTGACCGGAGGTACGTTGTCAAGAACTGAGGTTGGAGGGGAATGATAGGCTTTTTGTTTAGGGTGGAGGTGTTTTCTCAAGTGGGGAGGAGCCGAGGTCTCTCGGTGCTGTCCTGAAAGACTACTGGAAAAGGCGTTACCATAAGTGTAACTTGATTTTTTTTTTTTTTTTTTTTTTTTATTTGTTACAAAAGTACATGTCATGTGGTGCCACACTATGCTGGGGAAAAGTTATGGCATGCTTCGTTTTTATGCAGCACACCAAACCTCAACACCACCTTATGATGTACAGTGCACAGAGAAAACATTGGTTTACCAGTACTTTTATAGCGCCATCAATTTATGCAGCGCTTTTACAATATACTGTTTTTACATTTACATCAGTCCCTAACCCTCAAGGGGCGTACAATTTTAAGGTTCCTAACTCCTATTCATACATACACATACTAGGGCCAATTTAGACACAGGAGTCAATTAACCTACCAGCATGTCTTTGGAGTGTGGGAGGAAACCGGAGTACCCGGAGGAAACCCACGCAGTCACAGGGAGAACATGCAAAATCCAGGCAGGTGGTGCCGCAGTTGGAATTCGAACCAACGACCCTAGTGCTTCCGGGCGGAAGTGCTAACCATTTAGCCACAGTACTGCCCATTTGGTTTCTATGTGACCTTGTACTGGGCCTAACAAATATGGTAAAAATGAACTCTAAGGCGGTGGTTAACACCATAACACTTTTATTAGTTCAGGATCTGATTTTTTGAATTATATTTCAGATATTTAACGGAACCTTTTTAAACCTTATTTTCAGCTTTGATTGGTTATGAATCCAACAACAAATATGAAATAAAGAACAGCATGGGGCAGAGAGTGTACTTTGCTGCAGAACAAAATGATTGTGTGTACTCGGAATTTCTGTGGAGCTGCCCGGTCTTTTGTCATAACCATTGTTGATAACTCTGGTCGTGAAATAATTCGATTGTCCAGACCATACAGATGTTCCACTTGCTGTTTCCCTTGCTGTCTGCAGAAGGTAAGAGAAAATGCATCAAATCCTGTTTTTATTTATAAAGGGCTATGGTGTGACTTACTGGTAGGCTCACCCCCAGAGCTGTGACTGCACTGTCCCAGTTCCAGGCCACTGTATTCAATTGGGAGTAAGTAGGGTGGTATTTATGTCTGTATGTACAGTTGTGTTCAAAATAATAGCAGTCAGACATCACTAACCTGATCAATCACTGTTTTTGGTAGAAAAATATATTTCTACATGGCAAATAATTTACTAGCAGGTGTAGTAGAGTAATAGAAATCTAACAGACCCAACAGTCATGACATGCATGCTGCTGATTCTGTGTAATTGAATCACTAATTGAAAGGGGCGTGTTCAAAATAATAGCAGTGTGGAGTTCTATTAGTGAGGTCATTCATTCTTTGAAAAACAGGTGGCAATTATTGCCCTTATTTAAGGAAGGAAGGCAGCAAATGTTGTACATGCTGCTTACAGTACATTTCTCTCTGAAATTCTGAGGAAAATGGATCGTTCCAAACATTGTTCAGAAGAACAGCGTACCTTGATTAAAAAGTTGATTGGAGAGGAGAAAACCTATAAAGAAGTGCAGAAAATGATAGGCTGCTCAGCTAAAATGATCGCAAATGCTTTAAAATGGCAACCAAAACCTGAAAGACGTGGAAGAAAGCGAAAAACTACCATTCGAATGGATAGAAGACAGCCAAAATGGCAAGGACTCAGCCAACAATCAGCTCCAGGAAGATCAAAGAAGGTCTAAAGTTATCTGTGAGTACTGTTACAATTAGACGCCTATGTGAAGCCAAGCTATCTGCAAGAAGCCCCCGCAAAGTCCCACTGTTGAAAAAAAGACGTGCTGAAGAGGTTACAATTTGCCAAAGAGCACATTGACTGGCCTAAAGAGAAATGGCGCAACATTTTGTGGACTGATGAAAGTAAGATTGTTCTTTTTTGGTCTAGTGGCCGGAGACAGTTTCAGACGACCCCCAAACACTGAATTCAAGCCACAGTACACTGTGAAGACAGTGAATCATGATTGCGCAAGCATCATGATATGGGGATGTTTCTCATACTACGGTGTTGGACCTATTTATCGCATACCAGGGATCATGGATCAGTTTGAAAACATCAGAATACTTGAAGAGGTCATGCTGCCTTATGCTGAAGAGGAAATGCCCTTGAAATGAGTGTTCCAACAAGACAACGACCCCAAACACACCAGTAAACGTGCAACATCTTGGTTCCAGACCAACAAGATTGACGTTATGGAGTGGCCAGCCCAATCCCCGGATCTTAATCCAATAGAAAACTTGTGGGGTGACATCAAAAATGCAGTTTCTGAGGCAAAACCAAGAAATAGAAAAGAAGTGTGGAATGTAGTCCAATCATCCTGGGCTGGAATACCTGTTCCCAGGTGCCAGAAGTTGGTTGACTCCATGCAACACAGATGTACAGCAGTTCTCAAACAGTGCTTATACAACTAAATATTAAGTGATTCAAAGGAAAGCAAAATCTTAAAAAAAAATTGCAGTGTTTGTATTCTTCTTTACAAACTCAAACATTCACTATATAAACTAAAAAAAATTGAAGAAAAGTGAATATTAGACTGTTCAAACATTTTTCAGAGGAACAACACAAATTTGATATATTTTACTTCATGTTTTTGATTTGGAATAGAATGTGTAGCGTTCCCAATGCATTTTGTGTATGGAAATAAAACCTATTAGAAGGATTTTGAGCTTTATTCACTTTTTTTCAACACACTGCTATTATTTTGAACACAACTGTATGGCCTTTCACACTGTTTTTTGATCTTTTTTTTTTTTTTTTTTTTTTTTTTTTTTTAAATCCGTTGATGTCCATTTTGGTCCGTTGACATCCGCTTTTCATCCGCTCTGGGGTTTTTTGCGGAAAAAAAACTGGGATATCTTCTGTTTTTTTTTTTTTTTTTTTTTTTATTTAAAAAAAAAAAAAAATTTTGTAATCTAGTATCTCATAGAAAATGTTGATTCTGAAAGGAAAGTAAAAGGTTTTCTGACAAATCTGTTGGGGTGTACTCATTTATGCTGAGCACTGTATGGGTCCCTTCACATGGGCGTTCTGTATGGCCATTTTTCATCTGTCAGTTTACGGATGAAAAACTGACCCCCATATACTTCTATGGACTTGCAGATGTTAAGGGATGCAGACATTATCGGATGTAAAATGATGTTCATCCGTTTACATCCGCAAAATACTCCCACAAATGCAGGCCAATGATTGCAAACAAGATTTGTTAATTTGTGCGCACACACACAGAATTTTTCCTAACATTCATTCAACACCATGTTGCAAAAATGAATACACCCCAATGAAAGTCTTATGCAGGCCATAGATGGGTCAAAAATCGGCCGATTTTTCGGCCGAAAATAAAATCGGCGATTCTCAGATCGTTAGTGGGCTATTTGTTCGGCCGTTTTCGGTATTTTGACAGATTTTTTTAATCGGTAAAGTTGGAAAAAAAATCGGCCGATTTTCGCGGCAATGATGGGCAAATCGGCCGATTTTTTTTTTTTTTTTTTTTTTTTTTTTTTTTTTTTTTACCGATTAAAAAATCTGCGCAGGAGCAGTGACCTGCAAGAGGAAGACAAAAAGAAGAAAAAGAAGAGGATGAGGAAGAGGATGATAATGATGCAGAAGAAGCAGAAGAAGGGGATGAGGATGAAGAAGGGGAAGAGGACGAAGAAGAAGACGACGAAGATGAGGATGAAGAAGAAGAGGAAGAAGAAGCTATTTCTTTGACATTTACAGCGGTTGCAAAATTGTATCTATTTGTTTCCGAATAAAAACATCTGTATCCTAAATGGATACAAATGGATACATTGTTGCAACCGCTATAAATTTCAAAGAACTGTCAAAGAAATAGCAGAGCTCTCTGCAGGGACACTTTTTGCCGGCTGTAGACGGGATGAAAATCGGCCAATTATTTTTTTTTTTTTCTTTACCATTGATGGTAACGTCAGCCGCTTGAACGACCGATTTTTTTTCGTTTTTTAAAAGAAAAATCGGCCGTTTTTCTCCCAGTCTATGGCCTGCATTAAGAGCAAAGCTAAATTTTAGACAACAAAATCCTAATTAATCAATTAGACTCACCTGTAGTTGAATTCTTGTTAAAACAGGTGTCCAGCAGACAATTGATTATAAAATGGCATTGCTTAACAAAGAAAACCCCTTCCAATTTCATGCTGTCAACAATATCACCACATGGAAGAGAAGTTTCACAAGGCCTGAGAAAGAAAATAATTTCTTTTACACAAAGGTGAAGTCTACAAGAAGATCAGCAAAGCTTTACTTATCAGTCAGAATACTGTAGCAAAACTGATAGAAAAATTTAATAAAGATGGAAGTGCAACCATCTCACAGAGACATCCAGGCCGTCCATGGACGTTGCCACCACTACAGGAGCATCTTCTGATGAGAAGGGTTGAATAAAATCGCCATGCAAGTTCACTGCAGTTGGCTAAAGTAGAAAGCCAAACTAGGGGTGACACAATACGTCATACACTGCAGAGGAGTGGCATACACGGGTGTCGTCCACGAAGGAAGCCACTCCTAAAGCTCATGCACATAAAACTCCCGCCTAGAATTTGCCAGTGCCCATGCCAGTGCCCATGCTGAAAAAGACTACTGGCACTCTGTACTCTGGAATGATGAGACCAAGATGAATGTTTTTGGAACTGATGGCTTCAGAACTGTATAATCACAATGGTGAGGAGTACAAAGAAAAATGCATGGTGCCTGCAGTGAAACATGGTGGTGGCAGTGTCCTTCTGTGGGGCTGCATGAGTGCTGCTGGTTTCAGGGAGCTGCATTTCATTGATAGTATCATAAATTCATAGATGTGCTGCTCTATATTGAAAGAGAAGTTGCTACCATCATTCCGTGCTCTTGGTCGTTGTGCACTTTCCCAACATGACAATGATCCAAAAAACACACATCTAAGGCCACTGTTGCATTTCTGAAGAACAGGGTGAAAGTGATTCAGTGGCTAAGTATATCTTCTTCTGATCTGAACCCAATCAAATACATTGTTGTGCACTAGGAGGAACCCAGAACCCACTGCACCAGTGTAGGGTTTGACAATGAGTCCAAGGATTTCATACCAGTAGCTATTGTCAGTCAGGGTGCCTTTGTCTAGGCTGTAAAGGTCTGTGTGTCCCTCCATGGATATCCCTCCCCAGACCATCACTGACCCACCAACAAAACGGTCATGCTGAACTATGTTATAGGCAGCATGACGTTCTCTACGGCTTCTCCAGACTTCTGTCGCATTTTGCTCAGGGTGAGCCTGCTCTCATCTGTGAAAAGCACAGGGTGCCAGTGGTGGACCTGCCAATTCTGTTTCAATGGCAAATGCCAATTGAGCTCTGTTACCGGGCAGTGCACACAGGGCCCACTAGAGGACCTTGGGCCCTCAGGCCACCCTCCATGAAGTGCTTTTGAGTGTTTGGTCAGAGACAGTCACACCAGTGGCCTGCTGGAGGTCATTTTGTAGGGCTCTGGCAGTGCTCATCCAGTTACTCCTTGCACGAAGGAGCAGATACCTGTCCTGCTGATGGGTTAAGGACCTTCTACGGCCCTGTCCAGCTCTCCTAGAGTAACTGCCTATCTCTTGGAATCTTCTCCATGCTCTTGAGATTGTGCTGGGAGACACAGCAAACCTTCTGGCAATGACACATACTGATATGTCATCCTGGAGGAGTTGGACTGCCTGTGTCTGTAGGATCTAGGTACCGCCTCATGCTACCAGTAGTGACACTGACCCTAGCCAAATGTAAAACTAGTAAAAAACAGTCAGGATGAGTAGGGAAAAAAATGTCAGTGGCCTCCACCTGTAAAATCATTCCTGTTTTGGGGGTTGTCTCATTGTTGCCCATCCAATGCATCTGTTGTTAATCAGTTTCAGCTACTTTGGTGTTATTGAAATTAACAACCCCCTCTGCGACTTAGCTGACCAGATCAAAATCCCAATCCCAGGAGTTTAATTGACTTGATGCTATACTCTGATTAAAAAGTGTTCCTTTCGGTTTTTTTGAGCAGTGTATACAGTGGATATAAAAAGTCTACACACCCCTGTTAAAATGTCCAGGTTTCTGAGATGTAAAAAATGAGACAAAAATAATTTCGGAATGTTTTCCACCTTTTTTTTTTTTTTGTTTTTTTTTTTTTTTTTTTTGTTTTTTTTGTATGTGACCTATAAATTGTACAACTCAATTGAAAAACAAACTGAAATCTTTTAAGGGGGGGGGAGTAAACCTAAAAAAACTAAAAATAATGTGGTTGCAGAAGTGTGTACACACTTATAATTGGGGATGTAGCTGTGTTCAGAATTAAGCAATCACATTCAAAATCATGTTAAAATAGGAGTCAGTACACACCTGCCATCATTTTTAACGTGCCTCTGATTAACCCCAAATAAAGTTCAGCTGTTCTAGTAGGTCTTTCCTGACATTTTCTTAGTCGCATCATACAGCAAAAGCCATGATCCGCAGAGAGCTTCCAAAGCATCAGAGGGATCTCATTGTTAAAAGGTATCAGGAGAAGGGTACAAAAGAATTTCCAAGGTATTAGATATACCATGGAACACAGTGAAGACAGTCATCATCAAATGGAGAAAATATGGTGCAACTGTGACATTACCAAGAACTGGACATCCCTCCAGATTGATGAAAAGACGAGAAATCTGGTCTGTGAGGCTGCAAGAGGCCTACAGCAACATTTAAAGGAGCTGCAGGAATATCTGGAAAGTACTGGCTGTGTGGTACATGTGACAAGAATCTCCCATATTCTTCATATATCTGGGCTATGGGATACAGTGGCAAAACAGAAGCCTTTTCTTACGAAGAAAAACATCCAAGCCTGGATACATTTTGTAAAAACACATCTGAAGTCTCCCAAATGCATGTAGGAAAATGTGTTTATGGTCTGCTGAAACCAAGGTTGAACTTTTTGGCCATAATGCTAAAAGATATGTTTGGTGCAAAAACACTGCACATCACCAAAAGAACAATATACCCACAGTGAAGCATGGTGGTGGCAGCATCATGCTTTAGGGCTTTTTTTTTTTTTTATTTATTTTTTTTTTTCTTCAGCTGGAGCTGGGGCCTTAGTCAAGATAGGGGGAATTATGAACAGTACCAAATACCAGTCAATATTTGCACAAACCATTCATGCTTCTAGAAAGCTGAACATTAAGAGGAATCTTTCAACACGATGACCCTAAGTGTACATCCAAATCAACAAAGGAATGGCTTCACCAGAAGAAGATTCAAGTTTTTTGGAATGGCCCCGCCAGAGCTCAGACCTGAATCCGATCGAAAATCTGTGGGGTGATCTGAAGAGGGCTATGCACAGGAGATGCCCTCGCAATCTGACAGATTTGGAGTGTTTTTGCAAGGAAGAGTGGGCAAATATTGTGAAGTCAAGATGTGCCATGCTGATGACTCATACCCAAAAAGACAGTGCTGGGATAAAATCAAAAGGTGCTTCAACAAAGTATTAGTTTTATAGGTTACATTAAAGGTGTGTGTGTGTGTGTGTGTGTGTGTGTGTGTGTGTGTGTGTGTGTGTGTGTGTGTGTGTGTGTGTGTGTGTGTGTGTGTGTGTGTGTGTGTGTGTGTGTGTGTGTGTGTGTGTGTGTGTGTAAAACATTGATTGTGGTGTAGACTTTTTTTAAACAGGTAAAATAATCCCTTTTTTATAGATTACATTTTTTTTATACAAATGTAGTTACAAGTGGAGGCTCCTCCTGGAACAACAATTGGCTTTGTGAAACAGAATTGGCATCCGTGTTTACCGAAATTTACCATTCTGAATGAAAGGGAGGAAGAGGTTTTGAAGATCCATGGACCTTGTGTACCGTGTAGCTGCTGCGCTGATGTAAACTTTGAGGTATGAATTTGTGGGTAAAGGTTGGCTTAAGCTTGCCCATAGTAGCAGCTTTCAGTAACTGTGATCAGATCCTTCAAAGATAAAGTCTGGTTAGTGTGGGGTTATTGCATTGTCATGTTTCATACAATTTTTATATTTTTGCACTCCACAAAAAGGATTTTGCTACAGGTGTGTGTCCATGTCGCGCATATATCAAATGTTATTTGTCGAGAGCACTTGTCTGTATAAACTCTTTTGGTTTCTCCTCCTCCTCAGTTGAAGTCCCTGGATGAAAGTTCTGTGATTGGGAGGATTTCCAAGCAGTGGGCAGGAGTTGTGAAGGAAGCGTTTACAGATGCTGACAACTTTGGCGTTCAGTTCCCTATGGATTTAGATGTGAAAGTGAAAGCTCTTGTTCTTGGTGCCTGCTTTCTCATTGTAAGTATCTTCTTTAAAGTACTGAGCTAGCTCTAGCAAATATGATAAGTCAAGCTTTTTATAATTCACTGGCTGCCTGCTTGGTCTGGGTCAATGACTATCTAAGCCAGAAGAAAAGGTTTAGAATAATGGTCTTCAGTCCTGTATCTTCAAAAAAAAAAAAAAAACACCTTTGAGGATAATACAAGAACACCATAGCGTGTGTGTGTGTGTGTGTGTGTGTTGTTGTTTTTTTTTTTTTCTTGCAGTCAGGGAAGCTGTAGATTTATCACTCTAAATATAACTTGGCAGACTAAGCATGTTAGAGGGGCTCTGCATTAGTGCTTTTTATTTACTTCTCCTTGGTATTTATGGAATGACCTAAAAGGGGGGCTGACAGCTTCTCCATAATGGATTGTGCTGACCCTACTACATTACATGAAGAGAGTGGAGACCCTCTAAAAGAATGGGGTTGGTTGTATTGATTGCCAGGAAGCCTTCAAACATTACTGGAATGGCTGTCTGCTTTTTACTCTCTTATGGAAACAATGACCACTCAAAACATTTTACCAGATGTCTGTTAATAGTGTTGCACAGGTTTAAATCTGGTTTTGGATAAAACTGGTCAACAGCCACAAAGCTCAGTCCTTCCAGTCAATTGCCACAATCGCCTGTATAATAGGAGGGCAAGTACAAAAAAATAGCCGTTGATCCCATCAGAAATCCAGTCCTGTCCTGAGTATGCTGCGTTGTTCTCTCAATGTTTTCAGGAAGTGTTGGGACTACAGTACACCTATCCTATGTTAAGGAGATGAAGGTGGGGGATGTTTTGTAGGCCTTACACACTTCCTGTCCCAGGGTAACAACACTGCTCCTCTAGATACAGTATAATGAGAGAATGTTGTCACTCTAGGACAGGAAATCTGCTACATGCAGGATCCCCGGTTGAAGACAGATGTGGTAACTGCATTAGTTCTCATTTTTCAGCCTTTAAGAGTTGGTGATCTGTAGTATAGTATGTTTTACATCCTTTGTTTTTTGGTTGCCATACGTTAAATGAGGAAAAAATTGTTGATGCAATAACTGCCCTTCCTGCAGTGTGTGTGTGTGTGTGTCAAACCCTAATCGGTGAACATTGAAAGTATGAAGAAAATGTAAAACAATTTACTAACACAGTCATTACATATAGTAGGATACTTGCAGTTGGCAGTATGAAAATATGGCAACTAGTACACATGTTCTTACTGCTAGCAAGATCCCAAGTAAGGCAAGCTATAGATGGGATTTTCTTTTCTGCAACCATGGGCTGCAGGAAGAGAAATCTTCTTTTTTTTTTTTTTTTTTTTGACATGCAGGTTGTACTGAAGTCGATCAATGGAGCCACTTCCGTACAACCAGCCTGCCTAATAGATGGATCGAATCTCCCCCAGTCCCTGCTGAGATTTGATCTATCTATGACCAGCTTATAAAGTAGTCTGTACAGGTTTTGAGAAACATTTACATGTGTGTAGTGTAATTGGACATTTGTTGATAGGATGCACACGGCCTCTGAAGGAAGACACCTAGCATCTATTTGTTGCTAGGACACAGGCAATTCAATCGGGGTGCTTTTGAACTGCACACCTGTAAATGATGAAATACAGTCCTTACACCTTGGGCACAAACTTTCTGTTTTTCTGGATCTGAGTGGAATGCACACTTACTGATCTTTATGTAAGTGTGTGTGCACGGTTCCATACTATACAGCTGCGTTCACCCCCCCCCCCCCGGAAAATCCCCCCCCCCAACCAGGCCATTTTTTGCTGTTCGGCACTGCGCCATTTCAACTGGTAATTGTGCGGTCGTGCAATGCTGTACCCAAACAAAATTTATGTCCCTTTTTTTTTTTTTTTTTTTTCACAAATCGAGCTGTCTTTTGGTGGTATTTGATCACCTCTGCGGTTTATTTTTTTGCGCTATAAACAAAAAAAGACCGAAAATTTTGAAAAGAAAGTTGGTCATAAATGTAGGCTAAAATGTACTCTGCTACAAGTCTTTGGTAAAAAAAAATATCAATACATGTACTATTAATTTGGTTTGTGTGAAAGTTATAGCATCTACAAACTATGGTATGTATGTAAATATATAGTTGTGTGTGTGTGTGTGTGTGTGTGTGTGTGTGTGTGTGTGTGTGTGTATATATATATATGTAATATATATTTTATATATATTATATATACTAATTACCAAACATGACATGCTTTAAAATTGCGCATGCCCGTGCAGTGGCAACAAAGTACATACATTTTTATTATCGATAGGCGATGCTTTCAAAACCTTTACAGGTCATCGATTTATATTTACACAGGAGGCTTAGTGCTAGAATTACTGCTCTCGATTTGATGTTCGCGGCAATATCTCACATGCATGGTGCAACCGCAGTTTACAATACTGGCACAGGATCAATGCTTGAGCACGCAGGTGCAGGGGGGCAGGGGGGAGCAAGGGTGCTTTATTTTTTTTTTTTTTTTTTTTTTTTACACTGTCCCTTTTATATATTTTTTATGTCCCTTTCATTTTTTGATCACTTTTAATGCTATCACAGGGAATGCATATATCCTCTATAAGTTCAATGGGTATTGTCCTAGATTCTTTTTTGAGAAATCTGGGGTCTATCGGGCTCTAGACATCTCCTCTGCCCTCACATTATCTAATCTCACAAAGATCGGTGTGATCAGATGCTTAACCAATTTACAGATGCTGCTGTTTATATCCTGCCAAACTGAAGTGATGAAATGCTTGTAGCTTCCAATTTCATGGACTATATAGATGATTGTAGCCATTCTGGTTTCTGTCCAGCTCTATGGTCAGCCAGCGGAACTGCCGGGTGCATTCTTGGATCCCCCTGTGGGACAGGAGAGCCCAAGAAAACTGGAAGGCAGTGAAGGGGGGGGGGGTTTCTCTTCCCGCTGCTTGTAAAAACACTTCAGCAGCTAATTGGCCACTAGGATTGCTTTTACATGTAAGCCAACCCGCTGACTGAAAAAAACGATACGGGTTGATGCCTATAGCTGCAGTCGTCATCCCACTATAACCACACAAAGTCCAGCAACATACCAATACATTGCTGGTCCATGGGCGTATATGTAACTGTAGAGAACATGAGCATATGATGAATTGGCTCTGTAAATCAATATGACAGCAATTCATTCTTTTTTGTAATGCCCATGTTGAGGGTTAGGCCCAAAAAAGTTTTTAAATTCAGAAACCGTGATAGGTTTCCATGCGAATTGTCTGGCAAGAGCTGAATTTGGGTGGTGGGCGATGTATTGTGCATAATAAATTACAGTAGTCGCGAAGGGGAAGAGCTGCATGCCCGCTCGGGCACGGAGCGCCCCCCTGTGTATGGGTACGTCGCTTTTGCATGTAGCTGCCGCAGTACATTTGCGGGCTGGCAGTGGTTAAAAACAAACAAAAAATGGTTATTTTTATTTGTGTCGGTGTGCATGAGCCCTAAGTAGTTGGGAGTGTTACATGTCTTGTTCACCGTTGTGGGAATTTGGTATTTGTACTTAAATCAAGCCAAGGTTTTCCACATACTTCTGGAAAGAGATTTTAGAAACAATAGCTGTGTACAGTGTATGGAGTTCTTCAAAGCATTCCAGAAATCTGCACAGGCCACAAAAATTGGGTCTGTTGGGTGATGGGTATTTCAATTGTAAAGTAAATATAGGCCTGGTTGGTGGACTTTCCAGGTAGTAAAAAGTGTGGGTTTAACCTTAGGAGACCTATGCCAACAGTGTACTTGTAAATCTGTATAAAAGAAGATGTAGTCTGCTAAACATTTAAAAGAAAATCCAGTCCATGTGTTTGGCAGGACTAATCTTATGATGTATATGTTTTTGCATCTGTGTGTCTAAATACATAACGCACATAAAGCAGAATTACCTTCTATAGATTTGTTCCTAGGTCAATAACTATGATTCTAACTGGGAATAGTGAATAGAAAATGTGTTAACCCACCATATATGAATTTTAAACCACGTGCTTGGCTACACATCGCATTATTGTGTAACCATACTGAACCCTGCTGGTTTTATGTAGTCTTAACATCTGTTGGCTTTTATCTAAAGCAAGGGCGTTGTGGCAACCAGAACCAATCCGTATCAGTACTCTGATATAACCTGGTAAAAGGAAAAATTTAAAGCTACTTTTCTAATTTAATTTTTTTTTTTCTGCTGCCCAGTTTATTAGATTATTAAACCTGATATTGTTGGGTTGTCTAAAAGGATATATGGTTAATACATACACTCCAAAATTATTAGACTCATTTTCTGTAACTGTCTCTAAAAGGGTTGTTTTTTTTTTTTCTCTCTCTTCTTCAGGATTTCATGTTTTTCGAACATACTAATACCAACAAATAAACTATGGGCAATAGGACATCAAGAACACCAACATATTCCAGGAGCCATCTTGTACCACAGGATTTGGAAAAAAAAAAAATCTGTTTGTTACCTAAAATTTAGATTTTATAAAATCCATATTTTTAGTGGTTTGGGCATGTATGTGACATGTCAGTTGTTTAACAGTTTTTTTTTCTCTGTCTTTGAATTTCTTATATTTTAATTTGAAAGTACTGTTTAAGGTGCACCAGTGACTTGTCTGCCATACATTGTAGTATATAGTTTAATTTTATTGGTTATTTTTCCTCTGTATGATTTGTCATTGCCCGACATGTTTTTATCAGGGCATTTTCATTGTATTGCCCCCAACTCCTGTAACAGACCTTGTAAAGAGAACCTGGGACCCTGGAATTTGTTTTTACTTGGTGTTTTACATTACATTAGAATAGAAATATATATTAGATGCCCCCTTTTTTTTTTTTTTTTTTTTTTTTTTTTTTTTATCACCAGATAAGTGCTAATTCAACATGCATTTCATATTTCTAATTTTGAACATGCAAGTGCTTCTTACTACTTTACTAATGACCTATATATTGAAACTATCTACCTCTATATAAAACAGTGACTATAGTTAGCATTTTGTTTCAGAAACAGGGCATTAATGAACACTTATAGATTTGTAGATCCCATCGCCTTGGAATTGTTGTGCCAAAATAAATATATATCATGTCCTAGTAGTGTTTTTTATCTTTGTTTTGTAAATGTAATTCTGATAGTTCAGTTAATAAGGAGTCGGTGGACATTTTGGCATGACTACCAGGAATTGACACATCCACAACTAGACACAGAATGTTATTTTGTGCGCTACAATTTTTCTTGCGGTCTAATAGGGCGGGGGAACCTGATCTTTCTTCCAGCCCTTCCCCTTCCCTTTCCAAGCACTCGCCTATTACTTGTTGGTAATATCTTGCTGATTTGTCAAGTGCCCTCTGTACATGGCTGATTAACTCTGTGTTCTGAATGATCAGTTCCAGGAAATGCCTGTCAGGAATGGACTGGCCAGCAATGGTGGGACTCACCTGCCTTTTGATCTGCAGTACCAGGGCTGGCCAGCGGATGCTCCCAGCAATCATATATTAGACTCAACCTTTCAGCCAGCTAACACCTGGAACTGATGATACTGGTGTATTTAAGGGATGGCCAGACTTGCAGACTCTGCCTTGGTGTTGTGTTTGTCCTGGGCCCTGTATCTGTCCTGCATCCTGTTTCTGTTCCTTTGCTACCTGTTCTGATCCCTGGCTTGTGACCCTGACCATCCCTCTGCCTGACCCTCTGTACTACGCTGCTTCTTACTACCTGCTCTGATCCCTGGCTTGTGACCCTGACCATCCCTCTGCCTGACCCTCTGTACTACGCTGCTTGCTACCTGCTGAACCTGGCCTGTGACTCCGACCATTCTCCGCTTGCTCCCCCTGTACCTACCTGCCCAATTGATATTGACCCGGCCTGCCTGACGACGCTTGCTTGTATGTACTGTTATCTGTGGGTGGTTGGTTGGGTTTGTTTGCACTGTATTATGTTTAGTATTCCACTGCGTTTATGTTTGTATTGTTCGTGTTAATAAATTACATTGTTAATCACATATCTGAAGTCTGCGTTTCCCTGCATCAGTCACACACCTCTGGTCATACCTGGGAGCCCTGACAATGCCATTCTGTCTGTATCTACTGGACACTTCATAACTTGGACAGTACATAAATTAGATCCACTGAAAATTTTATAAATTGGACAGTTCATTGATTGGATCCACTAAACCGTTCTGATCCATTGTGCATCAGTACATTTGTATACTCTGAGGTTTAACAAGACTCACTTTGAGTACCTACTGTATATGGACCTGTTTTTAGATTTTGCTTACATAAGATATCCTTTTGTAGGAACTGCCTCTTTGTAGTAACCGAGTAGTTTCTTTTTCTCAATCTTGGAGCAGATTGCATATCCAAGTGGCGTGTACCAATGGAAAACCAATGCAACTTGCTGACGTTTATGTGGTCTGAAGTTCACTTCTGTCACCTCCAAATGTCTCTGGCCACCCACAATTTTTAAATTTGTACCTTTTTATTGTAAGTGTAGCTCCTTGATTGGGAAGAGGTTAGGAGGGTAATGCTGAAGAGCATTACCTGCATCTTTTGCTCAAGCTCTACCAGGTGTTACAGTGGTGGAAACTAGATATTTCCATTGTTCTTTTTTGAAGGTGTAAGGAATGCAAGTAGCAATTATCCACTTACTATGTAAAGTGTAAGTCTATGATAAATATGTGAAATAACTATGCTTCATATCAAACTATTATATCCTCCTCAGTATATCAAATCTTAAATCTACAGCCTGCTGTTTAATATTTAAGTAGATCTATAATGTTAAAGGGGTTTTTGCTTCGCATGCCTGAATGTAAAAAAAAATTGCCTTACGCTATAATTCTTTGTATGGTTTTTAAACTCTCAAATGCTAATTACCTAAGCAATGCTTATAATTACTGTTTGCTGCAATCTAAAGACGTGATATATTTACCATTGCAAGTGTCTTTAGGGAAGTGACAGTGTTTTGAAGGCTGATATATTCTCTTATAGTGGAAAATAAAGGTGCAAGGCACAATAGGGCACATTTAAACATCTGACCATACTTTGCACTATCCTTCCATCATTTTATTTAATTTGACAAGGTTTAAACCTTTTTTCTTTTTGTTAAGACAACTGTTGCTGTCTTTTTTTTTTATATTTTGTATGTTTCTCACTTTCCTAGTAATTCTTAGCACCTTTTGAGTCGCTTGCACTGATGTGAAGAAATTTTATTTACACACCCCAAATCCTGTGGTTGTGTTACCAGATATGCTGCCAGTGAACTTCTGTTTCATCCCTATGCTAAATAGAGATTTATGCAGGGCACATCTGATGTTGGTTCAGGTCTGCATATTTGCAGAACCAAGTAATAGTTTGTATCTGTCAGAGTGCAAACTCTTGCTTACATCCAGTGGGCCCAGCTCAAATCTTTGATTCCAAGTAGCTTCAAGGGTCGCATTTTAAGGATTTCCCTTGTTTGGCAATTACAATGGTTGCCCATGTGAAAAAATCCTGAAAATGTGACTTGTTGGGGGAAGTAAGACTGAAGATGAGAAGCTGTACTTTTTGGTGTATGATCTGAATCTTTCTTCTGTGCTACGATAACTGGGTCCATTCTGTTGCTCAATAAGTAGCCAGAGCAGACAGCAGGCCGCTCCTTCCTCTAAACAGAACAAGTCCCTGTCTTTTTTCCAGCCGGTAAAGGCTACCCTTTTGTGCTTTGACATTTTTGAGAGGCCTGTGCTGGTTTTGCAGTTTCTATTCAGTCTTTGTAACTCATCCAACAGTTCGCAATATTGTTAGTGCCTAAGTAAGAAACAAGTGTCTTTCAGTGAATGTAATAACTTGTAAATGTTTATGTAATTATTCTCTTCTGTTGACCGTTTCCTGTAGAATTGTAAAACATATATGCAAGTTTTTATATTTTGTACAAATGTGAAAAATAAAATACCCGTATGTCTATTTATTGAGCTGTTGCATTTTTTATGGAGTTTTCTTCATTTGAAGAAATGGATTATCATATGGATATATTGTGAACTAAAGCACAAGATTTTTTTGGGTACATTTGCAACCGTTTCTGTAACGGTACGCTGTATAAGAATGTACATGACAGCACGAGGTTCATTGGGAGGTTGACCATGCAGCTGAAAAAGCACAATGCCTTGCTGTCTTTGAATGGAGTACCAAAACACTCTCCCAAAATAGGCATGTTTATTAGAAAGTTGGTGAAATGACCTAATGGTTTGTAATAAGTATTTGTAGGAGAGGTCATTAGCAGCATTGCAGCCTCCCCCTAATTCCTCAATATCGTGTTTTTTTTTTTTTTTTTTTTTTTTTTCTTCTTCCTTTCCTTTTTTTTTTTTTTTTTCTTAGAATTTTTAAATATTGACACCTGTTAAAGCTACGTATACAGGGGAGCTGGATTTAGATGCAATCCAGTTCACTTCAACCTTAGCGGTTTAAGACATTTTGGTTCATTTTATCTCCTGGAACCACAATACAGTGCAAAACAAATTGCTTCACTGCATACTAGTCTGTTCAACCATCCACCCCAATGTGAGCCTTCTGTAACGCACATCATGGAGTACTCTAATCACACAAGAAAAGTGCTCCTATGTAGGTATTAAAATGAAGGCCATAGGTAACACATTTCTACTGGCATTTAATAGAAAATATGAACTGTTTCTGTTAATGAGCTAAACTGTTGGTAGGTAACCTTCATCATTTTGGCTCTCTTGCAGAATGACAAATAGAACATCCTTGGTAAATATATAAACATAAATTTAAACATGTATAAAGTTTAAAAAGATTCAAATTCATTAGGTTTCCTTTTTAGAAAATGATTAAATGCTATTGACTTTTGGTTTCACACCTGTGTATTACTGAGAATTACATTTCCAGAGTGATTCATGGATAAATGAATATTTTATCTGAAGTTGCTATACATATGTAGGGCACAATGGAGTAATAAGAGATGGTATGAGAAGCTGTTTTTAAAATGTACAGCCTATTTTGCCTTTCGTAAATCAACACTTGCCAGAGAGGGACTAGTGTCATAACTGCAATCAGTCCTAAGTGCTGGGAGTAGGGGGTGGCCTGGGTAGGATCCTACACCAATTACTACTTTTACTGGGCACCGTCTGCACAGCCGCATCATTCATTCACTCACAGGAGACATTGGGGGTCTGTTAGATCCCCAATATTTCACCCGCCTTTCAATGCAACTATTCAAACACATTGTGTTTTGAATAGCTGCATTCTCCATTACACTAGCTGAGGGATGACAGCTGTGACCCCAGTAGAATTGCAATACATTGTCACTTCTGGAATCATTAGTTGCAGGAGGAATTGGGGAATGGATATTTCCCAAGTTCCTTCTCCTTTCTTTGGAGAAGCTGTCTCCTG